AATCCCTGGCACCATTTTAAACTTGGGATTAACTTTATGACAAAGCACAGCTGTAAGTCTCCACTGAGAGGTGCAAGGCAGCCCCAAAGACACCCGCTTGTGTAAAAACAGATGCACACATTAGCGAATCGGCATTAAATGCACACATAGTTAAGAACATCACCCAAGTTTTGTTTTCTCTTGATGATTTCTGATAAATGTGTTAAACAGCACAACAGTGTCTGGGATGAAGTATCAGCACTCCTTTCTGTGAAGACACACACACACACACACACACACACACAATAGCGAGACAAAATAAGTACATCACATGTGTGCAGGAGTGTTTGTGTTGCATATGTTTTTTTTAAGCTGACAGAGATGCAGTTTTTGATTTTATTTATGCACAGAATCGCTGTGCAGAGCGGTGCGCTGAACCCATGTGCGTTTTTATGCAGGTTTGCCAACATGTGCATTTATGTTTACAGAAGCAGGTGCCTTCTATGGTCTAAATTGAGAAAGCACCCCCAGATGAGAAAAGGTCTTCAATGATGGAAAAAGTCCAGGGGTCTTCTCTGGACTGAGCACCTGTGAGGAGTTACAAATGAGCCTTTAACTGAAAGACAATTCACTGATGAAGGTAGAGGTGACAGAAGATGTGTTAAAGGTACTCCAAACACAAATCCCAAGGCCTCACTACTGAGGGTAACAGGTCTGATGAACATCAAGAGCCTTGAAACTGAAGTCTGGTGTTCCCACAGGAGACCTGGGAGAGATGTTCACTATGAAAGACTTTATTCTCAGTCAGCTATACCCACACAGTTATGTCCTCGGTGGCTGCTTGTCCTTATGTTTTAGTTGTTTCCCTGTTCCAACACGGCTGATTCAATACAAATGAAGTTAATCACCCACTATTTACACACCGTGTGTTGTAGCAGAGAAACACCAAAAACATGTGGGATAGTGGCCCGTGAGGGCCAGGAAGGGACTCCAGGTGTCCAGGAGAGCAGCCATTCAGAGAAAGTAATGCCCAAAGGGTGGGTGTACCTATAGGAGCCTGTCTCACCATAACAGGGGAGCAGATATGTCACCAACCACTCCTGACCTACAAAACCACAACATTAACACCCTAAACAGCACTGGTAAAGCTGAATAAGTGCTACAAATTAATAAATAAGGTTATAATGAAACCATGAAGTTTGTCATTTTCATCAACTGTAGTGAAAATTTTGTCAGGAATGACTTTATAGTTTTATTTTATTTCTGGAAATCCACTTATGACCTTAAATGTAACCTTTAAACAGTGATAACTAAAACCTTAGATACCATGTTCTGCACCCTGACAAACACCATCCAGAGACCCTTATTGCGCTTTGTCATGAGTCCATCAAACATATTGTTTGGGCTTCACACCTTTGTTTTTCTAATGTCTGTAGACAGACACTTTGGTTATTAGCAAAACAAATCCTAATGAGTCACTGATAAAACTAAATCCAGCCACTAAATCTTGTTAACTTTTACATTTTCACACACGTTTCATCTGAAGTTGACCACCACCAGAAGGATGGATGCAGCAAAGGTGCCAAAACTCTTCAGCTAGATTTAAAATGATGGTCACATTTAACATTTACAGTTGGGTTTCCTCGTGAGAATATCATTGAGCACCAACCAGATAAGTTATCAAATGGACGGGTTATTTGCAGAACACCTACAAGACACGCTGGGAGTGGCGTGAAGCCTTAAGATATTTTACATTAGCCAAATCACACATCACACACAAGTTTGGAGATTCTGTAAGTCGAGCCTGGAGCAAACAGCGAGACCAGCGTGTACCGATGTGACACGGAGCACTCAGGAATGAGGCACGAATCTCTGCTACTTGCTCCTCAGAGGATTAAATTGACCGAGTATGCGTGACGAGCTGCAGAGCAAGGAAACTCCAGAGTGCATGCAGTGACATGCACAACCCGTCCTTGAAAACTAAAAGCCCACAAGTAACAGTTCACAATATCTGTAGAAAACACAGATGTGAGTTGCCTACCCACACAGCGAGTTTACAAAAGCAAACGCTGGAGCTTACAATTCAGCTAAAAAGGTCCAGACTCTCTGATGAGGATAGCAAGGAGCTCCAGAGCCATCGCCCACTGGTGCAGAGAGCACAACATTCACCAGGCAGGATAGTTACGTTTCTGATGAGGGAACAACTTATTTGCATGGAAAACAGCAAAATGTTTGGTCCCGTAGAACCCCATGATATTTTAATTGAGCGCCAATCACAATTAGCCAATAACGCTAACGCTAGCATACAGATGTCAGCGTGTGCATGTTTGAGGACAAACCTAGACTGAGGCAGTGTTTCTCATGGACAAGCAAGTCTAAAATATATACAAATGGATAAACAGCATTAGCGTTAGCATGATTTTTAAAACATGTGTTTTAGCTCTATTGGCCCGCTAGAGGTGTCTCTTTTAGCTGTAATCATGGAAGTAGGGAGAGGGGCTTGAAGGGGCATCGCATTTTTACGCCTCTAGATGGTGACCACTGACAAAAAAACAACCTCTGGATTCCTGCTTTAAAGCAGCTCAAATAAAACCCTTTTTGACATAATGTGGTCAGAATATTAATTTCTATATTATGCTAGCTGTAATCCAATTTGCACAATTATTACAATTAAGTACAAATGTGCCCAACTGTCCAATGTGCACACAGACAACATAGTTAAAGCTACTGGTTAAACACAATCCTCTAGTAAACCCATGCTGATTTTTCAAAGTTAAAGGATAAAAGGTAAAAAAATTGAATCAGATAACCTACATTTTAAGTGAAAGTCAAGAATTATTGCATTCATTTTACCATAAGGCACTAGGTTAGTTTAAAGTCAGTGATGTGCCACAGTCACACCCTAAAGCCTTTAACTCCCTCGCTGAATCAATAGGAGAATCCATCAATAATGGGTCAAACCAACAGTCATGCTGAACGTGAGCGGTGGCAAAACAAAAAAAAATTACTTCTCAGGTCTCAAAAACCTTTAAAAAAAGCCTAAAATACATTTCTGCCACAATAACCCATTCTGAAAGCACCCGTGAGGACTTGCCCTTGATACTTTGATCTCCACTACTCCACCAATCTGCCTTGAAGTCTTAGAAAATACCAAATCTGAATTTGCAAAGTTCTACAACTCAAAAATCAAAGCTGCACATCAAACGCAAACATTGGAGACTCTGAATATCGAGATAATGCCTCTTGTGATCCTCGGAGAAACACTACCCAAAAATAAATCAGATGTGGAAGCTGCTGTAATGCAGTCGAGTGTTCAAGGGCAAGCATCACCGGCCTGCAGAAATGACCCACACATGCAGAGGGAGGGCCACCCTGTGGCCAACAGACAAACAGCCCTGTGCAGCATCCAGACACCAGACCGGCTCAGTCACGCTGGGGGAGGAGGCGTTGTTATGAAGAGCAGAGAAGGGGAGGAGTGGATGGCCATTTAAGAAGGACAAAGGGGCAAATTTGCTTCTCGCCTCCCACTGCATGCAAACCTAGTTCATACTGCTGCACACACTGGCGTGCAGACTAGAGTGATGTGTGGCCTTCGTGTCCTGCATTTAAGTCACTGTCAGCAGCCTTTACTTAGAAAGTCAAACGCAGAGTCTCAATGCACGGAGACAGCCACTCTTATCTCTGGTCCTCAGAGGCACAGAGACTGCTGAAACAGTGGATGCTGCATGAACAGCAAGGCAGAAAAACGCCTAAAAGCAGCAGATATCCATCACATATTGCAGCTAGATATGCAGACAGTTCATTAGCATTAGGAGCACCACTGATAAGAACACTTTACAGTGTTCTAAACCAAATTTAATCTGCTCTATTTTAGTTAGGCTATTAAGGATGCACAGCTTCTTAAAATCAGCAGTTTTACCATCAGCATTGCCCCAGCTCTTAAAAAGACCAGCTCTACGCTCATAATGCAAGTGTTTTGACACTTAAAACAACACCTTCCTCAATTCTGCATAAGTCCTACATTTTTCCATTAACTCCCAATATTGAGAAAATACAGCAAAAAGCAGAACTCTTCTGGTTTAATGCCACTAGAAGCAGAAACTAGTAATACAATGTGTGTTTATTTTTCATGAAATAAATTAAATATTGCTAAAAACGAGCATTTACCCTAAGTATTTGACCAAAAACAGAAAAAATGTATAAAGAAACCACATAATTGACTGGAAATAAACCCCCACCTTCAAGCTAATTAATTTGCGTTGGAAACTTCTAAAAACTGCCGCAGGTACAACTAATTTATTTTAAAGACCATGGACTTCCATGAGTTCCTGTTGATGCTAGGCAAGCTGAAGACAGGTCTGATTAATTAACAAGCCACACCTGCGACAAACCAGCAGGTCCAGGGCCGAAAACATCGCTTCCTCATAAAAAAACAAATGCAGCTCGGGTTGTTTTCGAGCTCTTATTCAAATAAGGGAGATTATCGAAATTCGCTATTCAGCGCTGGACACAAGAGGGAGGGGCTCGAGCTCATTTGGGGGTTACTGCAACAAGCTGCGTTGTTTTAGCAGGTGTTATGCCGAAAAATGACCCCCTGCTGTTAAAAAGGAGCTTCTGCGTATTTTGGTAGAAGCCTACTAGTTATATTTCTGTTCGTAAGGATGCTAAGTATTAAGTTGGCGACGTTTTACTTTATTGGTTAAACATGCAGTCAGTTTAGTCTTAGTGTTTTTTTTTCCTAACAACATCTGACATGACTAAGCTAACATTAGCCACACAGCTATTCAGCATTAGAGGTCTGAGGACATCAGTTACTTACACGCAGCTACTTCTGCGTTAACCACAGTTTTTACTGGTAAGAGATAAAATTGCTATGCAAGGCTCAGCCAATAAAAAAGGACAATATGAGAGATTAAGCTAACTAGGCTGTAATTCAGCCTTGCTAGCATACAACATGTAACGTACACGTACTTTAACCCACTCGATTGATATGCACCGCTACATTGTTTGCCGTATCTTACCTGGAGATGTTCACTCGGCGCAGCGGGTATTTAATGATGTTGTACCTGCTGGCATCAAACTTTCTGGTCGCCGTTTTGCGCAGCAAACAGGGGCGGTGGCGGGTCGTGGCTCCCCTAAATAAACTAATCAGACCTTTGGCCAATCAACGAGCGCGTAGAGCGCAACAAGTAAACGAATTAATGCGTTACAGCTGCGGTTTGATTAATGCTCTAAAAAGTGTCCAGCAGGACAAGAGACGCCGATGAAGAAATGGTTTGGCGCTAAAATAATGTATGGCAAGCCAATGTAGTATATAACTGCTAGGAAGCCCAGACTTTCCTAGTAAAATGAATATTTCAGCTTAAAAACACCATCTCAGGTAGATGGAATGTTTTTGAGCTGAAAGAACAAGGTAAAGAAAAATGTAACATTATTTGCTCTAGGAAAGTAAGGTTTGACACATCAGAAGTGACTTCAATTAAAAAAAAAGATTTTCTGGAATATCTAGGAATTTGACATTAACTCAATATTACAGATAATTTAAAGGATTTTTGGATAATTTGCCGTCCTGAAACTCTTCAACCTTATGAAAAAATTGGCTTTTCCACTAAGAGTTTTTTCTTTCCCAGATCAGATGCATCGTTCAGAGAGCTGAATTTCTTTTTAAAAATCATTTTTAAATTAATAGTAGTTCCAAAGTTTCAAAATTAACAGTTATTAAAACGGTGTTGGCGTTTTCTATTTTTGAGGTTCTAACACTGTCAAGCAGCTAAGCAGAATTAAGCCGCATACCAAATGAAAGCTCATGTCTCGGGAGGCATAACCAACTTTTTTTCTAACAATGTTTTTTTTAACTGTAAAGAAAGAAAAAATCTTTTTTTGTTCTTCATGAAAATAGCAGCCAGTCCACTTATATGGTACATTTGATTAAAAATAGGAGTATGTTACAACAACCTGCCACAGTCATCCATAGGAGTGCCATCAGTGTCCCTCTGGGTAATCAGGGGAAACCCAAACAACGGCACTTCACTGAATTGGCTACAGATATCCCCATTAGAGCTTGTGAACTTCAACTTCCTCCTGCTTCAAACGTAATTCTGCATTCCACATAAAGGCATCTAAAACCTTAAAAGAAAAACTTGCAAAAATACGGTTCATTGCAATCACACCCGAGTGGAAACAGCATGTAAGTATGCCTGTGAAGGCAGAACTCCATCAGCAACTCCAAGTAGCACATGCTGCACTTAGTGTAACCTATCATTTAGAAATCTTCACCAGAGGCTGTTTTACATATAAATAACAAAAACGTATCATTTTTCTCCCATTATTTCTACTATCCAAACTATATAAATGTTCAGGTTTGAACATTAAATTAGGTATTTAATCAGCTAAATGCGTTTGAGACATTTTTCACATGAACATATCTATTATTCCAATTAAAAGGCATTTAAACGTCAAACTGTTCTAGCATCTTAAAAATTACACTTAATCCCACATAAAAGATGCGCGTGGCCACAGTCTATTCTCACATCAAGACACCCGCAGTTCAGAGTTGAAAAACCAGCCGTGAATGCACCACGGTGACTTCCCCATCGCGTCTGCCTGCCTGCACGCATGCATTAGAAATAAGGCTGCATGTGTCCTCCCGAAAAATATTTAAATAAGAAATATAATTAAAAAGACACCATGTCGATGTAAAATGTTTCAAATCAACGAGCAAATGTTCAACAAAAAACATCTTACCGTTTCTATAAATGAAAGTTAGGGACGTCCTTTAGGGCAAAACAATCTCTGAGTGAAACACCTGGCCAATTGCTCGTAAAAAATAAAAGAAATAATAAAAAGAGGATGAAATCCGCTCTTTACAGTTCAAACTTGGAATCATAAAAACCAACAAACACAAACAAATGAGGAAATTAAATATTTATTAAATCAAAACACAGAAATGACTTCCTCTCAGCAAATAAATAAATAATAAACAATGAAAGAAAGAGGAAAGGGGGAGAAGTCAAATAAAAAACAGAACTAAATAAAAAAACTGAAGAAAGAAAAGGAATCAAATAATAAAAAAAAGCCGGCTTCTGCCTGTCTCGCTCTTTACAGGTGCGCCACACAAATACGGGACATCACTGAGTGGAAACCAGCGCGAGGAGGAAGGTGGTCTTTAAAAGAAGATAGTCCTGCCGGCGGTTATATAGGGCCGAATCACAGCATGCCTATACCTCTCCGCACTCTGCTTTTCATCCATTCAACCTACACACGAACACGCAGCGAACGCGGAAGTATACCCCCGGAGCGTGGCCCCGCCCACGGCTGATGCGCTCTCGAGCTGCTCCCACGTGATTGGCTCGCGAGCTCTTTCTCCTTGCGAGCTCCTCCAGCTCTCAAAGACGTGATGCGTCCTCAGTCCAGTCAGTCAAATCGACGGAGCCTTTTTGTCTCCCCTCCCAAGTATGGCATTAGGAATCAAACATCACATTATCAAACCACCGCCTGATTTTGTATCAATGTAATTATTTTTTTTACTCCAAACGCAAAAAAATAAACCGAAGATAAACTATGTTTTGTGTTGATCCGTCCTCCCCTCCCCATCCGTGGATTTTTTATTCTGTGATCACACGCACATTAAAAAAAGTCCGACAAAGTCTCCCTCCTTGTTTATCCCCACCCCTCGCAGTTTCACAAGCAGGCGTCTGGTTCTGCCGCAGAAGCGTTTTTGGGTTGGAGCAAATCAGCACCAGCCTCGTGTTTCAGCACCGCGGACAGCACCGTGCTTTTAAACGCTGCCCACACGTTCCTCATAGTCAATGGTCAGCTCTAGAGCAGGAAACAAAGGTGGGCGTTAATCTGGGATACCCCCACCAATCCAAGTACTGCTAAATAACACGGATACACACTATCGAGCCGATGGCTGCATGGAAGGATGTCCAGTTGAGCTCAGAGGAACAGTAGAGTCTAACCCTACGTCCTCCAGGGCATGTTTTTTCTGCTTCTATTCCTGATTTTAATCAGTAGGTGATTAAAAGGCTTCTGTGGAGCTTGAGGACCTGCTGAGCAGCCAATTTAACCATTTAATCAGGTGTGTTGAAGCAGAGAAACAACTAAAACATGCTGGATAGTGGTCCTCGAGGTCTTCTTTTATCATATTTATGCGTTTCAGATGTGGGGTGGGGGGTGGGGGGTGACATTTCGCCAGGCAAAGTTGACCAGATTAAAAACAAAATGCAGTTTTAAAGTTATTTACTAAAGAAAAACAAAGGTATACAAACTAATTCGGCCCTTTTTGAAAAAGTAATTGACCACTTAACCAAATTAGTAGTTTTAACACCCTTGTCAGAGACACATGCCTGTGATAACTAGTAATTTTATATAGTATTTTGGCCATGATACTCATGATGGCATCAGATTTCACTTTTTTTTTTACAACTGATATATTTGAACTGAAAACATCCCTTCAACTGGATTTCTGTAGACATATCAAGAACAATAACTTTACCCGTTTTATCGCTTGTGAAATACAGTTGGCATAAGCCATTGTGACATTTCTGGGGGTGTTTTAAAGTGGCAGTAATCAAATTAAGAGTTGGCCCCTGTGTGACCATAGACATGAATACGTAAATGCCTCATTGGGCGCTGGAGAGCGTAATGGCAGCAACTATTTTTGTACAGCCTACCGTTGCAACAACTGGCATACTATTGATGACAGATCACGTAGGATTACTATTAACCTCTCTAGCCTACCTGTTGGGATTTTATATTTTAACTTCTTCAGTTTAATTATATTTATATTTTAATTATCATGCAATACCACATGTCTGCTTTTGTGAAAAAGCTTTATGAATGTGTTGTTTAGTTGGGTAAGCACCTTCCTCAGTAGAAATAATTGCATGGGGAAAATAGAGAACCATCTAAGGTGGCGGCCGGCCACTACTGCAGCTGCCATAGGCAGTGCCAGTCCACTGGGTGTCTGTCTGTCTGTCTGTCTGTGTGTCTACCTATTAGCCTAATTGTTTATCCAGAGCTAACCTTCATGTCTCCAACTTCAGGCTGTTCAAAGGGCAATCTACGACAGGAAGAAGTTTTGTTCACAGCAGTTCCACAGAAGCTCACTTGAAATGATCTGGAAAATCACTTTACGATCTGAAGTCTGCAAATGTTTAACAAAACCATACAGGAAATTCTTTTTATGGGAGTAATCTGAGTAAACAGCCACGGTGGCGGTAAAAATAGTAATAGTAAACACTGCATCTAACATAAAAAGGCTGCCATTTTAGTGACTGTCTTGCAAGACAGTGTTGAAAATTTCCTTCTTGTAAATTTTCCAACACACAAAAACAAATATTTACAGAAGAACATTTGTACAAATGTGTTAAACTGCTTTTAATGGTCATTTTTAATGCTAAAAATGACCAAGATTCATGCACAAGACAGTTTAGATTCCAAGTCAACTTGGGTCCCTTTTAAATAAATAGAAATAGATGCTATCCATCTGCTTCTGTGTGATGAATATAAAGTCCATTCACAAGCAGGAAACTAACAAAACCCTCATGCAAGATAAGGACTGTGTTATTTTAGCATTTATTGTGTGGACATTTTAATTCCATACAGACAGAAAAAATGTATGACTCCATGGCTGAAAGTTTTTGAAAAATGAATTTGCCTTATGTTTGGTTCTTCTGTAAGAGGTCCTCACGGCTGCTAGTGGTTCTGTGGCATTGGTGGCCGATGTGAGCTGTAAAAACAAGATTAAATTAGACAATGAATCTGTTTTTCAGACAATACCAATAACCCCCTGACATGCTACATTTCTTCAAGAAGCCCACTTTGTCTTTGTAACCGAGATCAGTTTGGCAGAAAATGAAATATAACATGGACACAGCAGGGCACATCTATGTGAATACCACTGTATCATCTGCAAAGAGATGTTTGCCTTTCACATAACATTTAAGTAATATATGCTCCACATTTGTAGATTAAAAACTGCTTCTATTGTATAATGATTGTCATAATTGTCATGTTCATTCAAAACTAAGTTTTTTGTTTGTTTCTAATGATGAACCTAATATTTTGAGGGAAAAACAGAGGCCTGGGCCCTTTTTAGTCCAAAAATAGAGATGTTGCTCAATTGCAACTGATAAAAACGATTCTAGTTGCATACTTTGTTTCAAGATTCATGACCAAAATCCAATTTGTAACAATTTGGTTGAAGTAAACTTTTTCTTTGAGAATTTCATGAGTTGAGCTGACATGGTACAAAAGTCATTTGCAGGCCTCAACCCTTCTACATGCATGTTGCACTTCTGCCAACATTCAAAACAGGGCACCAGTACTGATGGTTAGCCAGTTTTCACTATTTGATACATGCATGTATTTAAAATTGCCAACTTTAACATTAGCTTGAGCATAAATCAATCTTTTTTTAAGCTCTGACAACTTAGCATTAGCATATCAGGTGTGCATTTTAAAATATCCTTTTCTCCCAAAGTTCCACCAAACAATCTTCTATACAGTGCTCCCAGGTTTGGCATCTTGCTGACAGGAAATGTTTTAAGTCTTGAAGTTGTTCACATCCACAAACACCAGTTAGATCATTAGCATTTACAGTAGATGGAATAAGGGAACCCTTTAAATGACAGGACGTGGATTTGTTGCTCCTGTTTTTTACTGGTGGGTTTCAAAATACGGAAGTCAGCTGGGTGAAGCTGTACATTGGTCAAATCAGATTAATATTTAGTGATAAACTGGAGAATAAAAGACTACACTGTAAGAAATGAATTATTTAACCAAATTATGTCAACTGTTTCTGTTTGTGATGCACGTTGTTATATTTAAAGTAAATATACATTTTCTTTACATTTAAGCTACTAGGTTTAGTGGACCCAGCTGACATAACCAAGTTAAGTAAATTCAACATTTAGTTTCTTACAGTGTAGCTAGATTGGCACAAGAAAGGGAGTTATTTTTGTCGTTCAAGCATCACTGTCACCTTTTTTAAGCGTCTCACTTTAAGTTAAACATCCAGAGACTGCACCACAGCCTAAGCAGTCAATCATTCTCGTTTGGGATTGAACAAATAACCCACAAGCACTCGCTGAGCGCTGGTGTATCAAATACCGTGCTGCTCAGGAGAATTCTGTGCGTGGCAGCCAAGGAAACAATCATTAGCAAATCTTACCAGACTCCTGCAGCTTTGGTCCAGCACTGTCTTCCCGACAGGGCCTCGCAGCATGCTCCTGGCCAACCTCGCCATACCCAGGGAGCCATAAGAAATCAACCGTCTCCACTCAACCAAAACGACCAGGCATATTAGACTGCGAGTTACAAAGCACCCTCTGGGTTGAAAGATTAATTAGAGCTGACAAATCACATACTATTGGAAGCAGGCCCAATATATCACACAAAAATGGCTCACATGAAACAAATGAAAGTGATTCAGTGTGTCCAAGAGGCCTAAAATACTCCTTGCAGTCCTGTTGAATTATGGTTAGCACATGGCTACTTTCATCCCCCTGTGAATAAACTATTCAACCAGGAGCCCTTGGCTTACAGACATGCTAATGCACCGAGTGTATTCACCTTTTTTGTGACATTCTCACAAGCAGCAGCTGTTCTCTTGTAGGTTTGATACCACTTCAGCTGCTTGTTTGGACTGAACCTTCTGTTCTCATTCGGTCTCGCAAACAAACTTGTGTGTGGCACTCCATTTCCTGTCTGAATGTGCAATGGGCGTGGTCTTAAAGGGACATTGCTGTGATAAATACCACCAAAATCCCACATTGCTAAAGCTGACCAAAGTAGAAAAAAGCATCTTTAAATGATACATTTTCACAGTTTTTATAATCAAATGGAGTAGTTTTAAATGGAGAACAGTTTTCTGTGTTACAGGGTATTTTTGAAGTCAGAGTAAAGTTGCATAGGTCATGAGGGAGCTCCTTACTGTAAAATAATACACCTCTAATGGAAAACCAGGGCTTGAATCTAATCCAGACCACAGATGAATAAATTAGAATCATTTCAGGACCACAAAATACTAAATAGATGTAATATTTAACCAACCAGATGATGCAGGTCAGTGCTGAGGTTAGCTACCTCATCAATCTTATGACTTAAAGGTCTAGCATTGCTCAAAGGAGCACACATCAACCCAGGGTTGAAGTATAAGATAGTTGCAATGATGCAAGATCTTGCAAAAGTGGTTAGCAACTGGTCTGTGTTGTGAGTCTTAGCAACAATTAAGTGAAGTGTCAACTCAGTTCCTATTAAACTAAGTCATAGCCATGTCTTGATAGCTGAGATTAGCTGTGGTCAGAATCTTTAAAGAGGAACTGGGCAGTTTTGGTTAGCTTTCAGCACCCCCTAGTGTCTGTTTGTAGAACCGAAAGCAAAACCTCTTTGCTGTACATTCATCTTTTTAGCTCCTTAATCTAACAGCTGAGATGTCTCCCACCATTGCCTAGTGTCTACAGGTGTGATTCTATCACTAAATTACACTAATCAGCTGTGTTCATGATCATAAACATGCAGGAAACATGCTGGAACCAGATTGCAGCACCAGGTATGTCAGCTTAATTTCTTCAAAGTCCCAACAGAGTGGACCGGCACCCGGAAGTTGCAAGTGGAGTATTCTGGCCACAGGGGGCGATGGGGGCTGGGTGGCCGTTCATTAACCCTGTAAAGGGTCATTTTAGTATATGCGGGCTCAAGAAAATGATTAAAAATATGAAAAAGATGCAAAGTGTCCCATTAACTGCATTGGCTCCAAAGTCAATCAGCTGTAGATGGTCAGTAAATGATTACTAGCTGTCCATTATCTTTATCATTATAATCTTACTCAGGCCATGGTGAGCTGGTGTACAGTATAACTCCAACTGTCATAATGCGAGAGGTGGGGGGAACACGGACAAACCTCCAGTCCCTCACAGAGACACACAGAGGCAAGCAGTAACAGACTCACTCAAACCTAGCGATGATTCAGAGCCTCCAATCAGCCTAACACACATGTTTTTGGTCTGTGCAAAAAAATCTGTTTATTGGTTCTTGAGATATTTTGCTATCAGACAAAGAAGGTTGCCACTAACAGTTGTTGGGCTAGGTTTCAGGCAAATGTCTTAGGCAATATGAAGTACTCGATGTGATGGGTAACACTCCCACCTACCACAACACCACATTTAAAGTCAACCTCTTGTGTTTGTTCAAATTGATTAGCTCTGGAAGTCAACTCAGTGGAAGCTGTCGTTTGACACTGTTGTTGTTGTTTTGCTTGTATGTTTTAATTTTATACATTTTATTGCTTTTTAGATTGTACTGTTTATGACTTTATATCTGACAAGCACTTTGGCTGGCCTATGTGCTATTTTAAAGTGCTGTATAAACAAAAGTAGGTACAGTGCAGTACAGTACAGTACAGTACAGTACAATATAATATAGTATAGTATGGTACAGTACAGTACAGTACAGTACGGTACAGTATAGTATAGTAAAGTACAGTACAGTACAATACAGCACAGTACAGTATTGTATAGTATAGAATAGTATAATTTGGTGTGGTAACATTTTTTGTAGCATAGTATAGTATAGTATAATATAGTATAGTATAGTAAAGTACAGTACAGTACAATACAGCACAGTACAGTATTGTATAGTATAGAATAGTATAATTTGGTGTGGTAACATTTTTGTAGTATAGTATAGTATAGTATAGTATAGTATAGTACAGTATAGTATAGTGTTTTCCATGTTGCCCTTTTAAACACCAGTGTTTCCCTGCTGCCACACACCTGACTCAAATGATTGAGTGATTGACAGACACCTGCTGCACTTGATGTCCTCCTGAGAAGGCAATGTAAATCAGCTGTGCTGAAGCAGAGACTTGGAAAACATGCAGGTCAGTGTGCTCTGAGGACCAGGGTTGGGAAACACTGGTGCAGTGTAGTGTAGTGTATTGTGGTCTGGTGTGGTGTGGCACTGCATAGCATAGTAGACTAGACCATAGTATGGTATGGTAAAACTATTAACAATAGACATCAAATAACAATAGATGTCAAATGTGTGACTCACTGTCTGGGTGACAGCTGATGGTGTGTTTTTGGAATCTGTAGCTGATCTGATTTATTAAAATGGTGCAATGCCCCTTTACAGTGATGAATGTCAACCGTAGACCTGCCACTCTAGTTGCTTTGTTTCAGTCACATGACCCTGTGTTGTGTTTGTACCTGAACTGATCCGCTCTGAGCAGTACCTACATTGATTTGCAAATAACAGCTGCTTCTCTAACTATTGCCTCCTTATATTATTATAATTTAACCGTGTTTATTTCTTAATTCAAATTTTTGCTTATCATTTATTTTTTCTTGTACCAAGTACAGCAGCAATTTCTTAATGTTGTGATTTTCACACAAATGGCAATAAACCCTTCTGATTCCGATTCATTGGACGACAATTTAAAATAATTGCATTTTCACTACAACATGTTTGTCCATTTCACATTGTCTGTATCTTCTTTGTTAATTTTTTTGTTAATGACGAGGTCTCTATTCCACCTTAAAATGATCCCAATCTCAAACATCACACTGAAAGCTCCATTTTATTCCTAAAATAGGAGTAAACCAGCCCCTTCACTGAATGAGCACTGCTGTGGCATGAGTCATGAAACATTCCCACTTCACTCCTTAACATTTTTGATCCTCTCATCTAATCTCAGCTCATTGACAATCAGTGCGACCGATCCACTGGGACCCATTTCCTGCTTTTAAATGTCAGAGGTGAGCTCTGTTGACCCCCCTGCCTCCTCTCTGCGATCTTTCTGGCACCCAGCGAGAATGAGAGGGCCGGCCATTTCATCACACACGGACACTCTGCTTCTGCACTGCCGGCAAAGGACTGAGATGTCAATAGCGGTTCCTTTGAGACATTATTGGACACTGAGCCGGAGCCTTTTGTGAGACGATGGTCCCAGTGTTGCATGGAGGTGATTATTAATGCTCCCTGCTGTCAGTGGATAAAAACGTGCCAAGATGAGCTCCAAGAAAAGCTGAAAAAAGAAGATAATAAGCAAATCTGCTCTGAAATAACTCACCGACTGCATTTTCACATAGAACCGGCGAGGCGCTGTCTCAGATGACTGGAGCTCAGAAAGGAGATAAAATGCTAAATATCTGTACACATAAATTCACTGGCACATGTTCCAGGTTCAGATGTGGCTCAAGTGACAGATATTGCAACTTGTTGACGTGGTAAAATAATACTCCCACAATCTCATTGATAAAGACCGATTAATTCCAAATGTTGCTAAAACAACATGTCACACTTGAGGCTCCTTTCCCTTGGAACCAACTTCCAAACAGCAGGTAGCCTCCTTTTTGAAAGACCTTAAGGTGAAGTTCAGCTCGGATCCTTCTGGCCCATCCCTTTAGTGATGCTGCTGTGATGTTAGACTGCTAGAGGACACACTGATCATGTTTCTTCCCTCTGCAGTCTTTATTCTCTCTACCCTCCATTTGATGCCCTTAAGGTGGTTTTGTTGTTTATCTTCCATACACAGCAAGGAGGTTGTAGGTTCAAATCCCATCTGCACAGCCTTTCTGTGTGGAGTTACCATGTCCCCCCCCCCCCCCCCCCCCCTCATGCATGTGTGAGTTTTCACTAGGTACTCTGGTTTTCTCCCAGAGACCAAAAACATGCCCATTGAAGCTTGGAGACTGTGACTGTTCCCCAGGTGTGAGTGGCTGTGAGACTGGCTGCCTCTGTGTGTCTGTGATGGACTGTCAACCTGTCCAGGGTGTCCCCTGCCTTTCACCAGAAGACCACCAAGGATGGGGCACCAATCTACCCTGCTGAGGATAAAGTAGTGAATATCATGCATGCATGGGTGGGTGGATAGTTGGATGAATTGATTAATGGATGGATAAATGAAAGGATGGATGAACCCAAAGGGGTTCGAATGAAGGCAACTGGATTAACATGACCTGGATGATTGAGAACCTTCACAAGCAGACAGGCTGAACAGATAGTTGGATGGATGGATGGATATCTGGTCCAGTTTGATGATGTTATAAAAGGACAGCTGGAAAACGGATCAGGAAAGCTGTAGGATTTGCTACTTTTGTATAACATTTTCAGATATCTAAATACATTCACAGGGGAACTAGGCAGTTTTGGCTTGCTTTTAGCACCCCCTAGAGTCCATTTGTAGAACCAAAATCAAAACGTATCTTCTCTCTGTGTGTTCATCTTTTTAACACCTTAATCTAACAGCTGAAATGCCTCCCAGCTTTCATTAGTGTCTACAGGATTCATCACTAAATTAAATAAATCAGCTGTGTTCATGATCTAAAACATGCAGAAAACCTGCTGAAGCCAGACAGCAGCGCCAGGTATGTCAGCCAAACTTCTTCTAAGTCCCAACCAGGCGGCCCGCCAGTCTGAAGTTGTGAGTGAAATATTCTGGCCACAGGGGGTGATAGGAGCTGGGTGGCCTTTCAGTAACTCTGTAAAACGACATTTTAGCACATACTGGCTCGAGAAAATGATTTTAAAATGTTGCAAATTATCCCTTTAATGAAAATGGGTTTCCAAGGAAACTGAATGTGACAGATGTAAGATACACCAACTTTTTTTCATTTTGAAACTGGAGGACAATAATGGCAGAAAGCTGAAGGCCTCAAGAGCACCTGTCTATTGTCTGGTGATGTCTGGCCAAAATGGTCTTTCTGGAAGAAATGCAGCAAGAAATCTCAAATCGTGGCATGAAAACAACACAAAGCAACCAGAGCACATTTAGGCAACCCAACTTACCTACGACTCATCAGCACTGCGAAATAAATGCCAGCTAAAGCATCAGAAGAGATGCTTTCAGATGAGTCAACGGCCCAAAACGTTTTAAAGTTATGGAGAATAAAACCTCCTAAACAAACGTGTTTGACTGGGAATGATGTTCATTAAAACACCCTTTTCTAGAATGTAACCATAAAATAAAGATACCTTTAGGTCGATCTAAGTGATCTGCATTATGAAAAACAGAAACATCACATATCTC